GAGGTTCCGAGCGCATCTCATAGGCTAAGCAAAATCTGGCGATTAGCGCTTCATAGTCCACCTGGTCGTTTGTGACGTCGAACTCTACCGAGATCGACTGGTAAATATGTTCTCCGGCCGGGCTGCTCAGAGTCAACCCCAGCCCGTTGCTCCATCGACGTATAAGATCCACGTCCTGTCGTCGGTAACAATTTCTTCATCCTGCTCTTCCATCATGGAGAAATCAGCCAGAGATCAGCGAATGCATGAGCTTTGACTATCGTCCGCAGAATGTAGGTGTTGTTAAATTCACTGAGTTCAATCGCCCACTTTAGCAGTCGTTCGAAGTGCTCTAGTCAGGTGAGCACAAATTTCAACGGATGGTTCGTGATTTACCCAAATAGAATGCATTTGAAAATACGGTCGAAGATTGGGAGCGAAAATAATCAAAGTGAAAGTTAGTTTTTCCATGATCAGGTACCTAGTTTCGGCATCATGAAGCACTCGGCTCGTGTAGTATAGACTGGATATAGTTTTACCGCCTCTTCTCAGATCAGAACTAAGCTTACAGCCTCTCATCCGACTCCTAGGTACAGTGGCAGCTCTTCAGCCGGCTTCAGGCTCTAGAGCAGTGGGGATGACACTAAGGAACTTTTTAAATTTTGGAACGTCTCCTCATATTCGGTTGTCCATTCTAAACATCGATTTTCCCTTAGCATTTTAAAAAACGCCGCACAATTATCGCCTAACTTTGGGATGAAACGACTGAGCACGGTGATTCGACCGGTAAGTCTATGAACTTCCCTGGTACTCTGTGGGGGCAGCATGTCTAGAATTGCCTGTACTTATTTCGGATTGGATTTTAACCCTTTGGGAGTCAACAGAAAGCCGAGGAACTTGTCGGTAGATACCCCAAATCTACACTTTAAGGGGTTCAATCTCACATTGAAATTTTTTAGTGTTTCGAATGTCTTTCAGATCTTAAATGTGTTGTTTGGCTATCTTACTCTTAATTAGAGCATCGTCAAAGTACACCTTAATATTCTTCTTTTATTACTAGAAACAATAATATCCATGAGGTGTTGATAGGTCGTCCCGACGTTCTTAAGCTCGAAGGGCATTACATTAAAACAAAATATGTTCTATGCAGTAATAAATGTCATTTTTTCTGCATCGATCTGGTGTATGTTTATCGGGTGGTAGAAGGAGTAAGCTTCAAGAAAACTCATTACCAACTATCCAACCGTTGCATCCACCAAATTGTCAATCTTCAACAAGGGATAGGTGTCATTCAACAGGCGATGTTGAGGCTGGTGAAGTCAGCGCACATTCGCCATTTGTTATTTTCTTTCTTAATCATCACGATGTTTGAGAGCCATGTTGGGTACAAGGCTTTGCGAATGTAGTCAGAATCCAGCAGTTTTTGCACCTCCACTGCTATCGATTCAGCCAGAGCTTTGGCGATTGACCTAACTTTCTGTTGGACTGGGCATTTCCGTTGCGGTCCAAGAAAACACTTCCCGGTGCAAACTAATTAGGAAGATCTTACCGGATTGTTCGTTAGATAATAGTACCTGGAGGACGGTCTCACTGGTCTCGAAACCTCCCTCCCTCTGGATCTGTATATTGGGTGGTTCATGGAAACGTTCGAAACTGCTCACAAATAACAACTTCTAGATTGTTCTAAGTTCCCCCAGACCATAATCACATGATAGGTAGAAGTTACCTCCCAGTAGTCATTCAGGAGTGACCGACCAAAGACAACATCGTAGGTCTGCAGTGATTTCACCACGAGAAAGTCCTCCAAGCTATTATATTGCTTCTCTGGTTCTCCTCGAGAGATGGCTAGGTGATGAGGCTCAGTGCCTTCTCTCTTTCCCCGGAGAACCCAAACAACAGGTTGGTCGGTGTTGTCAGACGGTCGGTTTTCAGGCCGATCCTATCGAACACCGTTTTGAACAGGATATTCATAGAACTCCTTGTATCAGCGATAATATTGCCCACCTGGTAGTTGTCAATCAATATTGTGATGACAATCGCCTTGTTGTAAGGGTTCTCATTCGGTGGGAGATATGCATCTGTGAAGATAATTCGCAGATGGTCACGTGTATATGGAACGACGAGCGTACCTCTTCCTAACACCGACTTTCAAGCTAGAGAGTCAAGGTCCTCCCCCGAAGATAGCCAGGATTATCTCTGCTACATGAACCTCATTCGCCCAGACAGGATTTTTTATTGCGTACGGACACCGGACGCAAATTTGTGTTCAGTGTCCCATCAGAACCGTCCAAAAAAATTGAGTGGGTTCCACTCTAAAAACAAAAAAATAGCAAAAGATGTATTATAGTGGTTCTGACTGGACATCAGATACAAATTTGCGTCTGGTGTCCGTACGCATTAAAAGCTCCCCAGACAGGCCCATTGAGAGTTCTCATGTTTGAGCTTTGCCCTGTCGTTGTGTGTAAGAGAACGGACTACAACAAATTCTTTAAGCTTTTCAACACGAATAAGCTCCTTACTCAGATTTCGGAGGTGTCAACATTCCTCCATGCCGTGGCCGCATCACACTCTGCTTCGAAGGGCTGGTTGAAGTCTGGTAAAGCTAGCACGAGCGTCTAAGTCACTTTCTCCTTCATAGTTCCAAAGTTGGTCTGAGCTACCAGTGTCCATATGAATGCCTTCCATTTTAAAAGCTTTGTAAAAAGGATGGCGATAGTGTTGAAGTTCCTAACGAATCTTCAGTAGACCAACGTTGGCCCCAGAAAATGCGTTAGCTTGGTGAACGATTGTGGTGCGGTCCAGTTTATAATTGCCTCGATCTTCGTAGTGTCCATTGAGTTCCTGCACTAGTCATGATATAGCCCAAACAGCAAACCCTGTCATGAAGTGGCACTTCTTTGGAAGAGCATATAGCTAATCCACTTGCAGTACTTCAAATGCTACCCTCAAGTGTTGTAAGTGCTCCTCAAATCTAGACTACTACAAATTTCCTAATGTGGGGTCGGAACACATGGTTCATCAACCTCATAAATGTGTTATGCGCATTTGACAAGACAAATGGCATAACTATCTACTCATATAACCATCTCGTGTTTTGAAAGTGGTCTTCCACTCGTTTCTTAGCTTCATCCATATCTGGTGGTACCCAATATTCTTCTTGCGGATCTCCTAGTTTGCTTGGCAGGTTTCTTTGGTTTTGCAGCAAGCCTGGTTGTGTCTCTCTGCTTTTGGTTTCTGCTTTCTGCTCTGTTTCTATCCTCACGGCTTCCGTTGGCTGCTACTGTTTTTGGATCTTTTTGGTCTACGCTCTAGAGTCTCAAAGGTCTTTTGTTTGCTCGTGGGAGTGCTTTTGGAAAATTATTACTCGACTGAAGACATTTTTTGTACATCCTTTTTCTCTTTACATGTTTAGTAATACAAAAGCACATGTTTACTTATTTTTGGGTTTTTGTTCTTTCGTTTTGGGTATACCTGTATTTTTAGAGATTTATTTTAGTGTGCGTTGTACTATGGGGAGAGGAACCCCTAAGGGTGTGTTGCAAATATATTTTTTTGCTTTTATAGAAGGGGATTCTCCCCCCTCCAATTTTTGTATCTTTTCGTTTAATTAACGCGCAGGGAGCCACTGTTGCTCTTTCCCAAA